TTGTTTCACACGGTGTAGCTTTTGAGCACATGAAGATAATTCAACATGAACTGAGTCCTCAATGGGGAGGGTCAAGCTTAAAGTCCCACCACAGAAGCTGACACCCCTTGCCCACAAGGGTTATCTCCTCCAAGACCAGCACTCCTGACATTTGTGCTGTCAGCTGTTGTGGGGGCCTACGATTACAAGACACACTTCTCCCAAAAAAGGGACCTCTGCCAGTGAGTTTTCTCCCAAAAAGGCTGTTGACCCATATCCCTTTTTTCCCAGTCCATCATACCGTATGGGTACGCTCTGAGTAGATGTAGTTCTCCTTGGTTTTATTCCTCTTGGGGAAAAAAATATAACATGACCACACTAACAAAGGTGTTTACAGATTGTTAAAACAGGTTTTCTTCTCCTATTTACTGGCAGGAAAAATTATTTCAATTTTTAGACATTTGGGAGGCACTAGAGAATACAGTGATGTATACGCATTTCTCTGGGATTAAAGTATCTACTCACAGGATTGTAAGAGAACTACAGACTAACCTTGAAATAGACAACTAATAGTAACTAAAATGCTTATTAAGCCTATCCTTTATCTTGCAAATCAACAAATGCTGCAATAAATTTTTGCATTCTGAAATGTATAAGGAATTTATGATTTGACTTCTCAGCTTCCCTGCGCTGCTACTGTGCTATTATAAACAGATTTACAAAACCAGTCTTTTTTTCAACAGATTCGAGTTTAGCAGCCATAAATAACCATGAAAATCATTAAAATAAACAATAAAGAAATTAGAAGGTGGAACAGATGAGGCTGTCCCATACTACATTTAATCCCCACAGATAGGAAGTCTTTGTGCTTGAAATAAATCTTCAAGATGCATTTCTCAATGATTTAAGAAAAAAATTAGAATGATTTATCAGCAAAACAAAGAATGTCTGTCAGTGCACTACAGCATGGCATGGAGCGTTCCAGAGGAGGTCAGCATCTGGTTTCACTCTTGACATGATTTTTATATTCTGTATAATCCCCAATCTGAGATTTCGCAGTCAAGATGCACTTCGCATGTGCTCAGTCTCCTTACATTACTGTGCAGTGGCACTTCTGAGAGTGGATATAGTTCCTGTAATCAGCAAGCTGCTTCAGGTACAAATTGGAAGGCCATCGGTGCATCTCTACGAAATTGCGCTCCTCCACTAGACAAAGCAATAGAGGATTTAAATGTAATATGCAGACATACAGCACAAGTGCACAGGTTGCAAAGAGTCTTTTAAAATAGCTTAAAAAAAAAATCAAGCATATAAATACAACAAGAGAAATAAAGATAAGCGCTGCCCATTTTGCACGAGCTCTGCTATAGCCCAGACATACGAGTTACCACATGATGTTTCCTTGCTATTAGTTAGCAATTAACAAGTTGGCTTATTTTTTAAAAATTAGTATAATATTCATTAAAGAGAGCAGAGAGGTATTCCTAAAGATGAGCATTCTTTATACCTAGAGGATAACCACGAGTGGCAGGCAATTGCAAGGATTTTTCAATGCTGCAACACTATAAAGCAGGGTATGTTAGTTCCTCTGCCAACAGTTGGTCCTAAGATCAGTACAAAAAGCAAGGTGAGGAGCACAGTTAAGAATTCAGCAAGATTTTAATCTCTTATTGCATGTGGGTTTTGTCACTGACAAAATCAGATAAAAGAATTTTTTAGCCATATTATTTAGATGAATCCCCTTTGCCTTTGCAGGAAGATGCATTTTCAACCCTCTACCCCAGATTTTCCAGAGTCAGCCTCCTGGTCCTTTGAGGGACTCCGATTTTCTAGAGTTACACATCAGGAAGCAAATACACTCTTTTGGAAAATGCATATCAGTTCCCTGAATGGACAACAGTTGTTTGATTTCATGAGATCTGCTGGAGAGTACTGTAAAAATCCTATCTTTTTCAAGGAAAACTATAACACTTAAAGAGGGTGTACTAAAATGATCCATTACTTTGATTCAAATGTACAAACTAAACAAAATTATACAGATAATGTGAAGAGGTTGGCATACAATGTCCAAAATGTTCCAGTCAATTCAGTTATGGATGGGAACCTGGCCATCAGAATAGGAACCAAGAGACAAGGTGATGCAGTGCTGGCTCTGTCACTTGCTGGTCCCACAGCAGGGTGGTGAACCATCCCACTGGAGTAGACTGTATAGCCTAAGGAAACCCTGATCATCTTCTCATGCAAGTGGTATTGTCCAGAACATCACCTCTGATCTAAGTAGAACAGTAAAACATTTATTGTTTCAGAACTAACAGATAAATTACCTGAAAGTTCTTGAAATTCAGGTTTTTGGCTGAAGATGAGGTAGTTAGTGGCAATAAAATGAAGAAGCCATGTTGAAAGGCAATCAGAATTGTGAAACTGTGAGAAGAAAGGAAACACAAAGAACATGTAGTGCTAGTGTGTCTAAAACACAACCACATCTCACATGTCAAAGTATTTCAGATTTTCCCTGTCAATATAGCAATTTACTAAATAAAGCTTTGACTGTGGGAGAAACCAAACGAAAAATCATTGATGGAAATATGTAAACAGGTGGAAACCAGAGAACAAACAGGAACAGATATTATTAAGATCTTAAAAATCTTAGCAATTAAACAACTAATTAGAGTCAACATACATATTCTTGTTTGATACATACTACACATACCTTAGCTTTTTTGAGCAAGCTAACAATACTGAGACTGGTGGATGCCAGTTCCCTGCTAGGCATGCTCTGGAGTTGAGTGATAATATAAAGCTCACAAATATGCTGAAGTCTCATTACTTGGTACATCTCTGCACAGATCAACAGAGACATAGCTTGGAGAATACTGGCTGAAAAACATCAAAACATACACTTACATGTATTTTACCCTTCTGACAAGTTGATCAAAGCTACTTTTCGCCAAGTCATCCTTTAAATACATAGCAACAAACAGAAAATCAAACTGCTGTGATCACCTTCTTTTGTTTTTCAGTATTACAATTTTAAGTTTGTTATATCACCTTCTTTTTTCAGGTAAGCTATTTCATTAAGGAGAAAAGAGTGTTTAGAACTTTTTAGCAGGGAAGTGTAAAAAATTCCTGTCCATATCCTATATCTTGAAGATGCTGAGTCAAGTGCTGCTGATCTACTTAATTTATGATTAATAAGGATTTAGTTTTCCAATTTCTCTTTCATAAGAGTATTTCTATGACACTTTTACAAGCAAATACAGTAAAAAGGCAAAGATAAAACACAACAACCATTTTTTTTAATATATAATGCTGATTGCATATTTAAACTGATGGACAAGGAAATGTTAGGCTGAGTGAAAAGAGAAACCTATAGAAAACCTAAGAATAAAGTAGAATTATTTCCAAAGAAAAAAAAGGCAAAAATACATGTCACAATATTATTAATTCATTCATTATATTAAGGGAAAATCAGCTGTTTTTAAATAATATTTCATACTTAGTATGTAGATTTTCTTCTCATAAAAGAAGACATAGGTTAAGACACAAAGAATATTTTAGCTCAATTTTACTTGCCAAATGCTCCAGCTGACATACTTTTTTCCCCTGGTTTTACATACAAATAAGATATCCATGTGTATAAATAAGTTATTCTTGCAATTTAACCTTGTTTATATGAAAGTTAACTATATGCATGTTAAAAAAATGATAATTTTGAAATAAAACACAGAAAGAGGACTAGAAAGCAGTATTACTGTGATGTAGAAAGAAAATTCCAAATATTGTAAAGGATTAAGAATGAAACTTCACTTATTTTTGAGTCAAGTAAGTACAAATCAAACATATAATTTTATTAGTACCATTTGTTCTGCCTACAGCTGATTTTACTTGAATAAGACTGATTTGTTTATTCCACAATATAAACAAGTTCTCTTTCTTGAGACATTGCACATTAAAATACTGGCATTTTTCACTGGAAGAAATGCTGCTACATTACTCTCTATCAATGCCCCACTGTGGAAAAATGAGTCACAGGTATACACGTATTTTAAAATTTTCTTACCTGGGCAGCAGGAGTCGGTATAAAGATACTCTAGAAAGGAGAGGAAAGTGTCTTTGGAAACCCCATACACTGGAACTAGGACACTATTTGCCTCTAGATAATTACCATTAAACATAGCTGCCATAACCTCACAGCGAGCCACCAGAACTGCCCTGTGGGCTGGTACAGTTGCACCTGCAACATGCAAGATAAAAATATACAATGAACTTATATACACATATATTTATTTTAAAGCTTATGCTTTCTTAGAAGGTCTTCACTTCACTGAACATGATTAAAGTGTTTGAAGTTAACAGTAACTAATAACACACTCACTTCACACTGGCCAAGATGATCACATCTGCCTAGCAGCCAGCAGCAAACAAAATGGAATGCCAAATTTATTATGACAGCCTGCTTCCAACACCAGATGCTACAAATAGGGCAAAATTTTATCTGCCAGAAATGGGGTTTCAACCACCAAAACCTCTGACACCACTGTACTTGAGATGTCCTGTGCTTGTGCAGGCGGCAGCATGAGTTAGAAAAAAATAAAATAAAATAAAAAAAATAAAAAAAAATAAAATAAAAACAAAGTAAAAAAATTATTAAACAAGAATGAAATAGACTAAACCAAAAGAGAAGAGACAAAATAGAATAAATCAGTTCACAGTAACTGAACCTCCAGTCCATTGGGCAAATATGCAATGCTATGAATTGTTATGCAAATGATTACTGGTTGGATTCGATGATCATAGGGGACTTCTTCAACCTAAATGATTCTATGATTTTATGAGTAATTTGTGTTCACTGGTACCCCCCTCGGTAAGGAACGTGTGCACCAGAAGAACCACACAAAGCAGAGAAAGGCAAATTATTCCAGACAAAATTCCACTAAGTCCAGTAAATAAGTAGAAATTTAACTGGAATAAGTATTTAACTGGAATAAGTAAATTTCCAGATGGTTGTCTTAGGAAAAAAAAAGGCTGATGAATTTTTCCAGAAATGTATTAATTTTGTATTATTTGCAAGTGAATTCTTTGCTTTACTACAACATTTAGAAAACCTAGTGAGGCCAAGAGCCCTGTGTGGTAGAGGCCATATAGGCTCTTAATGAAAGTGCTGCCAGCCCTGACACTCAGAATGCTGCAGAGTCCAGCTGAACTGAGCAGTCCTGTCTGTGTTCAAGGAAGTGCCAAGCAAGTGCCAGGACAGCAACTAAAATGAAAATGAGCTTTTACAGTTCAGTGGAAATGTTTTAACACAAATTATAATAAACAGATTAACTGACATGCAAGATGAATATACTGGAAATACTTACAAAGAAGTTTTGTCTTCGTTTTCTCTTTAACCACAACATTGGCACCAATCTAATTCTTTGAAGTCATCTGGCAGCTTTTAAATTTTTTGTTCTATTTCTTTTCCCCTGTGCTTCTACTTCCAAAAAGTCTAAGCTGCATACAAAATATATATATTTCCATATGGAGAGAACACTTGTTTGTGGTCATAACACAAGTAATATATATGTCGCTGCTGTGATGTAGAATACATGCAGTTCTATATGTGCATGTAAATGGACATCTATCTACTAATTAGGAGGTTCAGTCACGTTATGTGTCTTAACACAAACATAATGGGCTCCCATCTTCCATGGCTCCCAAGTACTTTTGTAAGCTAGAAAAAAAGCTCAAAGCAATGATCAGTATCCAAGGAATTAGCTGGTAACTAACAAATTTATTTGTCTGATCAAGACTAAAGCCTTCCGTTTCTTAGTAGTTATTTAATTTTAATAGTTATTGTAGTTGATGAATTAGAGAAAAAGGTTTGGAAGATGTATCAAGTCCTAGGAAAAACATTTCACATTTTACTAGTGGATACACATGCTTTTTTAAATTACTTGCCAACACATTCATTTGGATTTTTTTCTGTAAAATATATAGGGTTGTCCTGATTTCATCAACTTCCACAAAGCCTCTTTCAGGAGTGGGACACTGAGGTGAATTGTTCATGTCATTGCACTCAACATCAGCACTGTCCTCATTTTCAAAGATATTTTTATGGTTTTTTTTCCTGCATATTAAACAGAACACCTAGAAAGACTCTGCTTGTCCTTGTGTGCTTACGCTTGAGGAATTAATGCTTCATGAATGAAGTATTTAGATATAAAGCTGAAAGTAATTAAATAACTCTAATTCTAAAAGACCATTTCTGCATGAAGGGCGGGTATAGACAAACTGAGAAAACCATTAAGCATTTAAAACCCATCTCATTCTTATTATCACAAAAGTATGCAACACATTTCTCCCGCTGTATCTTTCATTTTAAGGATAAACACATTTAATTTCCAGAAATGACACTGCAGCATGTTGGGCAGTAAAATGTGGTGGGTGTTGATGGCACCAGATCTGCAGGTCATCAAATTCCAGCACGTATATGTGCATTGCTGGGTTGCCCATGCTGGTAAAACCTGAGGAAGCAAGTCCCTGTCGGCTTCTGGAGGGACATGAAAGGCACATCCACAGCCAGCAGCAGCCTGAGATGGAGAGAGGGAAGGTGGAGTTAAAAACCACCATCTCTGGTCTTTTCACTGAGGACACTGAGCACAGATGAGGAGACCATGACTGTCCAAAGTGTGATGCAGGGCAGAGCCCTTGAATATGTTCCAGTCCTTGTGCAGGTGGGAACACGGGCGAGATAAATATAAAATAAAACAAAATAAAGTAAAATAAAATAAAGTAAAGTAAAATAAAATGAAATAGAATGAAACAAAGTAGAATAGAATGAAGTATAATAAAACAAAACAACATAATATAAAATAAAACAAAGTAAAACAAAATAAAAAAACAAACCAAAACAGAATAAACCAAAATATAATAGAATAGAAGAAAATCAAATTAAGTCACTCATGTTGTTGTGCAATCCCTGGTTTAGCCTTGCTGCCTTGGTGCTGTGGCACTGTTATTCTCACAGCACATCCCTCATTTTATTAAGCTTCCAAGGGGTGCATGTCAATCAGGGAGGCACAAAGTCTACCATGACAGACAAAGGCAATTTGTACAGGTGTAGCCCAGACAAACCATGCTGATAATGGACATTGCTGCAGGGCATCCACAGGGACAAGCTTTCTCTGCTTTCCACAGTGATAGCCAATTTCCTTAGTTGTGATGCCACAGAACACGGTGGTCTCCATGTGCCACACTCCTGCAGAAGGGATAAAGGATAAAGGCTGGAGTCACAGTGGTGCCCATGCCAAGGGGAACAGAGGTGCCTTACCTTGTATTTTGAAGATAACATCAGCTAGGACAGGTGTGTTAAAGAACAGCTTGAGGGAAGTATTATACAATTGTTTTATCTGGTGAGACCTGCAGACCTTTACAGAGTTTTGCTGAAAAATAAATTGGAAATAAAGCACTGTCATGTGTAGTTGCCCACAGAATTAAAGACTACAGGACATAATTTATATGGGGAAACTAAGTAACAGCCTCTCTCACATGCATTCCTCTGCAATCACCTGTATCATCTATTTCCCTATTTCCTACAGTGCAGCAGCTCCAAGTGGGCTCTGTCTCCCATAGTCACACTCCAGCTCTCACCTTGTCCTCTGATCTGTGACAAAACTCCCTCATCCAGTGCCTGCAGGCAGGCTTGGGTACATCAGAGTTTCCTGGACTCCACACTTTTTCACACACTCCCTGTTCAGTCCCAACACTGCAGTTACACAAGGTTTAAGGACTCGGGGGGGGAGAAGGGTGGGACACACATACACATGTCCACCCCCAGCACGATGCTGTGCACAGATAGGAGGCAGCTGAAAGTTGTGTGTTTCTTGATATTGCCATGGTACTGCCTCCACAGAGGCAGGGTAAGCTCACAGGCTGGTAACACAGTGTTCTCTTACAATAATCTGGGTACACCAGTGTCAAGACTCTCCAAAACCCAGTATATTCCCAGTTAGTTTTCAGTTTTGATTTTCTTACCTTAAAAATGGAATCTAAAGCTGCCGAAAGGAACAGCATCAAAATCACATTGCTAGACTGTGATACGTGGAATTCAGATGAGGTTGAATTTACAGGTAAAATATTAAATTTATTATTTTTTTAAATTTTAAAATTACAATTCATTCTCTTGGCCTTCAAAGAAAAATGTTTTAATGTGAAATAAATGTGAAATAGAAGGCATTAAAAAACCCAAAAGAAACAAAACCAGCTCAGGCTTATTATCTTGAAAGTTTTCAGTCCTTTCCAAGTCCAAACCTATGTACGTTTTAGTTACAAACACTTAGGACTGGCAAGCCTACAGTTGAGCAATCAGGAGCTAAAAACAGCTCAGTAACTTTATTCTGTGTTATCTCAAGAGAGTCTGAGATGGGTTCCAACTTAGAGAGATGGAAATATTTGGAGCCAATTCTATATTATCAGAGAATATATAAGCTCCACCAGCAAACGACTGTTAAAACTAGCTCTATATTGTAACTTTTTCTTAACTTAATAATGTGACATAAATTACATTTTACTGTGAAGTCATCTACTGAATTAAAGATATTGAGATACAGACAGCTTTCCACATCACAGCACTTGTAAGAGAAACCACCCCTCCGGATCTACTGCAGAAGCCCAACTTTTGGCATATGTTCAGGAAAGTAAAGCTTTCCTGGGCAGCCTCTATTACATGGGAATTAGCAACACATAATCATATTGTCAGACAACGTGCAAAGCTGTGAATACGAGTAATCCTTTTAGAATACCCACTTTGTGATTTTTACTGATTACATTAATTCTGCACATTGCATCAGCATCTCCATGTTTCCATGCTGCATGTGCCTGCCTACCCACTGATGACACAGTACATTTTTGGCTTACATTTTGTAAGCCAAAATCACTTTAAAACAAAGACTGACAAGGAAACTTTGTCTACAAAGTAATTTTTGAAGACTTAAGTAACTAACAGTGACCCCAAGGCAGTTAGATGTACCTTCCCTGGAGTTTTCAGGATGCATTTAACTTTCTCAAGCACTTCTTCAGTTTTTTCTGGATCCTTCAACTTCTTTTTTATATCCTCTTCTAATCGTTCCCACTGGAAAGCACCTGTAACAAGACCAGGAAGAGATGGGTCATAAATCAACAAGGCACAGGTCTCAGCAGGCAAAGATGGTATCAACACCAAACAGATCCTGCAGAAACCTTACTTTGTTGCACATAACTCAGCCAAATCTTGGTGTTTATGAAGGGCAAGATGCACTTCTTGCACAATAAAACTTCCATGGTACTTTTACAGAGTGCAGTCAAGTACCAACAGACTAGAGCATCTCGCTTTCAAACTCAATTTCTGAATTCCTCCCAGCTCGGTCACTACATATTGCAGGTAGAGATTCAGAAAAAAAAAATCCTCAATGTTTGAATATTTGGGGAAGTTCTTTAGCTCCATCTACACCATAGGGGTGGTAGGTGCTTAAACCTCATGGGCATCATGACATAGTCCTGAAAAGCTGAAAACTCATAATGTTATTTATCTCTTCTCAGCCTGTGCCTCAAGTGTCTTCAGAAGATCTCATTACCTCTCAGAGGCACCAATGACTTTTGGCAATGTCTCTCAGGATGGAGCTGCGACCTAAAGCAGAGCTTTGCCTGCAACTACACAGTTTCACACCCCCTTGGTTGACATAAAGGAAGGTAAAAAATAAAATTAGTGCACACAAGGCAGAAGACAGAAGTTGTACATGATAACAGATGAAGATGTTTACAAAGATGTTTAGCCTGGAAAAAGAGAGGCTCAGTGGGGACCTTATTGCTCTTTACAATCCCCTGACAGTCTCTTCTTACAGGTAACAAGTGACAGGACAAGAAGAAGTGGCCTCAAGTTGTGCCAGGGGAGGTTTAGATTGGGTATCGGAAAAATTTCTTTACCTAAGGGGTTGTCAAGCACTGGAACAGGCTGCCCAGAGCAGTGGTGGATTCACCAGCCTTGGAGGGACTTAATAGATGTATAGATGTGGCATTTGGGGACATGGTTTAGTGGTGGTTTCGCAGTGCTGGGTTTCAACCCAAACTATTCTATGATTCTGAGATACTGCACTTATCCATCACCTGCTGAAATTCCAGTTTTAATCCCCTATTCATGTCTCCCATAAATAAGAGCAAAAAAAAAATCCATTCACACTGAAAAACTTCTGTCTGTTCTTTATGTTTGGCACTTGGAGTGCCAAACTTGGAGTGAAGTTTTGGAAAGAACTTCAATGTACAATCTCTAACTGAAAGCTGAGATTCTTTCTTGTGCCTTTATAAGCCAGTTCTCATGTCTCAGCTGCTAAGGTAGAAATATTTCTCATATGTCAGGCAGATATCAGTATGCAGATATTGACTGAAATTCTTTAGAGTTGCAGCTCTAACATTATAATTATTTGTGGCTTTTTTTAAAGTATTACAGTTAAAATCAGAATACATCATTAAAAGGCCTACTAATTCTTTCAGCAAATATAAAAAATATATTCTTATACACTGACAGGTTGAAAAATATTTTACAAAGAATAAACAGATATTTAGTACTTGCATTGAAAAAAAAAAAGGACAACAAAACAAACTTTCAGCTGAAGGTTCCTAAGCAACACCTGAAAAGGTAGAAAAATATCAGTGCCATTTTAACAGACAGCTGACATTAGGTAGGTGAGGTCACTGTCTGTACTAAATTAGTAGCAAAACTCATGCAACATTACAGTTCCCTACACTTCAACCAGTTACCACCATTTTCTCCCCAGCAGCACCATACTCAGCAGAAAAATTACTTAACTTTTCTTAAGTGACCCTGTACTTTAATCCCTGGGTTTAGAATATGCAATCATTCAAAATATTTTAAAAGCCTGGGATCTGAAACTGTCCCAAACTCTAGATTTTTTTGGCAAAGTTTTTGAATATTACTGATGTAGTTTATGGACTAATTTAACTTAGGTTCAGTAGATCTAGAATGACAACTAGTGTAATTTTTATTAAATCTAGGTAATGTGCTTTTTTCAAACAGACATTGTTCATACACGGGGTAGAAACATGGTGAAACATCATCTCACAACAGCGAACACATGTTCCTCGGGGTGGTGCACACACTCCTTCATGAGACAACAGCCACACAGGAAATGAGCAGCCTGACCTGTTCCTGGCAGGTACCTGAATAAATGAAGAGGAGGATGTCAGGTAGACAGGAGCAGAAGACAGAGTCCTTCACCACCACTCTGATGGGCAGGATGCAGGGTGGGGCTCCATAGGGGGCCAGGGGGGAGGCAGCTCCCGTCTCCACAGCAAAGAGACTCTGTGCCATCTGCACGATTGAGGTGTCAGGGATGTCAGCAGGGCTCTTCACCCCGAAGAGCAGCATGAAGAGAGGGCTGACAGAGCAGAGGATGACCTTGTGGGCCTCCGCCACTGTGCTGAGGTCCTCGGAGTAGAAGGCCACGTCAGCGCACTGGCAGCCACAGAGCAGGTTGTGCAGGTCTGTGTTGTAGTGAGAGGCTTCACCCTTCAGGATTGGCATTTTTTCTGTGAAAGACAACAAGTCAGGCTGTAAAACTGAAGCAAGTGTTAACCACAGGACAACTGACCTGGTCAAACGAGGGACAATTTCTGAAAGAAGCATTCAGTAAGAAAATTTCTTATACGCCATTTGAATGTCTTCAGTAAAATACTCTAAAAATAGAAATACTTGTTATAGTAAAATAAAAAAACCAAGAAATATTTAGTTTAATAGCAAGTGTCCATCCTTTCATGAACCCTCTCTAGGCAGTTAGTTTATAAAGAAATCTTGATTGCATATCCCAAACCTAAGGGGTCTGAGCAAATTTCTAGCACGTGTAAGAAGAGACAACAACAAATTTAGAGGTAATTACTTGTCAGTAATTATTTCACTGGATAAATGCATCAGATGCTCATAAATCACATGCAGAGGCCAAACACCTCTCCCTTGCTTTATCTGCAGCAAATAAAAACATTACTTGATGATACTGTAGAATCATGATCTAATAAATTCTTTTGTAATTTGTCTGTAAAGCTTCCATATAAAGTTTGTACTAATTCATTTTTTCATAATTTCATCAAGTCAACCAGAAAATCAGTCCTATTAGTTTTACCTAAAATTAACTAGAAGTCCACTGCAATGTTGTATATTGCCATACAATTATCCCCAAATTAAATAAACCATTACTAGAAAATGATGCAACTAGAGCAACATTACCAGAACAGTTGACAGAACAGCTCACAGTAACAATTACAAATGTCAACTGCGCAAAGAGCGTGACACACGTAATGAACGATAACAGAGATCAGACATCAGTGAGCACCTGGCTGTTCAAGCTGAGGTGGTTGGACTCGATGGCACTTCTGAATCTTTTTCCTTTTCTTCATTTTTTCAGATGACTTCTGATTCAAACTTTGAATCATAAAATATTCCAGCTAAAACAAGAAATATATATATTTTAAAAAATCCTAGTTCTTTAAGAAGAATCTAGACATCAAACTAAGAAGTATAAGCAGGTACTGTATGCAGGACTGAAGATACTGACACTGTGACCAGCCATCCAGCAAAGTCCCAACATTCCTTTACCAGAAGCTACATATTTAGGTGGAATTAGCACTATTTAACAGACTATTTATTCAAATGATGGTGGTTAATTCTTGTATATTTGATCTTCCTAGAAATGACAGACACAAAGATACTCAATTTACCAAGCCCTGCAGATGCTAATTGTATCTTGTTGAGTGAAAGTGGCAAACTTATTTCACTGTGACATATCTGTTTCCTAAACCTTCCTAGTTACAACTGCAACCTTGATACTGCAAATTCAGCCAGAAAGATAGAATCCTAGAATGGTTTGGCTTGGAAGGGACCTTAAAGACCACCCAGTTCCAATCCCCTTGCCATACGAAAGGACACCTTCCACTAGACCAGGCTGCTTCAAGTCCCATCCAATCTGGCCTTGGACACTTCCTGGGCAGCGGGGGGCATCCACAGAATCCCTGATCAACCTGTTCCAGCACCTCACCACCCTTGCAGTGAAGAATTTCTTCCTAATATCTAACTTAAACCTCACATCTGTGGGAACTTGGTGGAAGGGCTTGCCCTGTGCCTCCACTTGCTCTCCAAAGCCCTGACATGAGTTGTACACCTCCCACCTGTGCCATGCTGCTTCCAGCCCAGTGGATTCTCACTCACCACTCCTCCAAAGTACTTCTGTATGTAGAAGTCATTAAGAGTGTGCAGTTCCAGGTAAGTGGCTCCTAGTTCCTTTGCAAGCTGAACTCCCTCAGACGTTGTGACACAGCTCCTCCTGTCTGAAGTGCACAGGGGACAGGTGCAAGGCACTCCTGGGGTAAAAAGTGATTGAAAAAAAGGCAGTTTTGGCCAAATGATCCAGAATTCTTAGATTCCTAAATAATTGTAAAGATTTAGAAAAGAACCAAGAGGGAAATGGAAACATAGTAATTTTATAGTAAGAAATCTGTAATTGCTGAAACCTTCCCCCAACTATTTATTAATCAATTCAAACCATCAGCCTCTCTACAAAGCTAAGTATACATTACATTAGTGTTACCTTATTGGTTTTGTTAAGGTGGAAAAGTCCAGCCAGACTTCTAGAAGCCAACTTTGGCTTTAGCTCAGTACCTTTATATGCTGAGGTCTTGTATTATCCTGGAGGTGTTACCACTCATTAATGTCACACTTAAACTTGAGTATTGTGGCCTGTCCATGCAAGAAGCACACACAGTAATGGAAAGGGAAAACTTCTACTCCAGATCAAACTGTGATGGGTATGTACATGCTGTGGAACGTGATTCAGTTACACATATATCGCATACATCTTTTGAAACCAAAATAGGTATTTTTAAGATTATGGCAGTTAACTGTTAAAAATCTTTTAGCCACCCTGGCTCAGCTTCACTTAATGCCAGTAAGAACCTGCCAGCCATGGATGTGCTTTCAAATGTGCTGCCCACGTTACTGTCTTCTGCCTAGACCTACGGATAACAGTTAATAAAAAAGCTTTTTTTTTAATTTGTTTTGGCAGCACCATTTACCACTACAGAGGATTAAGATCTTAATAATTTGTATGAGCAAACTGCTGTGTTCACAAATACCTCCTAGAAACAAAAGAGTTCTGTGTGTGCACAGCAGTTTGCTCTGACAGGTCCCAGAGCAAACCCAGAGATCCAGCCCAATGTCTCCCACGGCCACATTATTTAGGGATGAAAATAGAAAAAAAATAGGTGGAAAAGAAAAAAAAAGAACCGATAGTAGAGTCGCACAGTGTGGTGCTATCCTGTGCTTAAAGACAAAGTGTAAGAAAAGGCATGGGGAAGACAAACAATTTAGCCTTTAGAATGGCAGATTTGTTACCTCCATATATATCAGAGCATAAAAACACTTGGTCATTATCAGTGAATTACTAAAGGAAAGAAAATGAATATTTATTGTTATGTAGCTATTTAACCACCCTTTATCAGTCACTGAGCTAAAAGATCTATAAGTAGACTCTGGCAAAACTGAGCATTCTGTCCAAAGAAGATGCACTTCATATAGCTGAATATGTGTATGTACATTATAAAATAAATGTCTATATCTACACCTATCATGTCCCTTACTCATTAAAAGGAGAGATGCTCAGAAACAATTGTTCCAATCAAGTCATAAAGTAAAAGGCAAGTCAGGCTCATGTTTTGCATTTATTGCTTTAGGAAAAGAAAAAATTAAAAATCAGGTCCCATGACTAAAAGGACCATATGAAAGTCAATAAAAACACAATGGAAAAACATCTGGAAATACAGAATAAATTTTGTAAGTTTGTTCTATAGGCATCTGTGGTACTCTTTCTGAACTTTAATTATCTGCTGTAGACAGGAGCTACTAATGTCTACCCAAGAGGTGAACATGTTCTCATTGCCCTTACATTGCCCTCATCAGCTGCTGGATCTTTGTAAGTCAACTCTCATTACACAGATGTGAGACTCTGATTTCCACATTGTTTAAACAGCAACAACAACAACAACAACAACTCTAAGCATTCTGTGTAAAATCAATTTGTGCTGTTCTCACAGCAGACTGGATGTTGTGTGAACAGGTAAGCTATACCAGAGCTATACCATATCTACACCATAACTACTCTACCAAAACAGGTCAACTCTGTTGCTGCAGCAGCATGTGACACCTTGTGCTGCCTGAAAGGCTCGTGTGTCCATTCATCTGATGATATCCCAGGGAATTTCAAGGCTTTTCCCACCAGCTCTTCCGTGTTTGCAAACTGGTGGATATAATTTTAATCTCATACACTAGAGATACTTTATACCTAAGAGAAGACCAGAGAGAACTCTTACCTTAGTGTTCATCTCATACATGCAAATATATGTTTCTTAATCCAAAATACTACATTAAATCCCCATGTGTGATGGCTCCACAAGAAGAGTTGTTGCAGAGGTTGCCTTTCATCACTGGGGTTAACTAAGCACAATGTTCTTGCCAATACATCAGTCTAGAGAGCCATAATACATGTGCATATTACTGTCATCCTGACAGACTAATTGTTTCTGTTAGCAACTTGGAAAAACAATCAGCTTCGACTGAAATTACATTATACCTAACTTCCAAACGAGATTTTAACTGTTGTTATAGGGGGCTGGATACATACCGTTTTTTCTTGCACCAATAGCAGAAATTATTACTGGAACTGAGCAGTGGTTTAATGCTTTTTTTACCATCGGGACATAACTGTCCTTTAGTTCTTGAAATGAAGTCTTGTCATTGACAGAATATTTAATCACAATAATATCAGCTCCTCCAATGAGTCTGCAAGAGGTGTACCAGTCACTGGCAAATATATCCTAAAAAGAAAAAACATTGATCAAGATTTTACTGTCTATAAAGATGAAATATTCAATATTCTTAATGCAAAACTTTACAGAAGTATTTTCGACAGTTTAGTTCTTATTTGAAGACATACAACAAAGAGCAGAATTCATATTTTGTAATTTCCTTGCTTGGAGAACAAGTTAATTATAATAAAAAATAAATGTCTTCTATGGATTCAGAATTCTTCAAGAGGAAGAAAAAACAGGTTTTATCCAGGAATATTCTTTGTAGGAAAAACATTTAGTGGTTTAATCACTTAACTTTAAATTTGTTTCATTTAGGAAATAAAAGCAGCTTCAGTAGTGAAGGTTTTCAGCAATTCATTAACCATTATTAATCATACCATTTTAGGGGAAGGGTTCCACAGAACTATATTATGTACCTATGAGCTGTTAAATATAAATGTAATAAATTCGGTGGGATTTTTATCCGCTTCACAAGAGATTCTAAGTAGCTTTGAAGTGTTACTGTCTTCAGGACAAGTGTTAATGTCTTCAATCACATATGTAAACTTTCTTCTTCACCTTCAATTTTTTGTTATTCTGTACTGTAAGACTTACACTCTAAAATTGTTTGATATCCTGTTAATTTACAACCATGCTGTATCCACATGCAATACACAGTTAATACTTGTGTATTTGTCATGGAACTACAATTCCACAATTTCTGCTTTACCTATAGGTAGCTCAGAAATACCAGGGAAACTCATGGCTTTGCATTTAAAATCAATGGAAAACTCTTGACAGAAATCTGGAACAGGTCCAGAGAACTGAAAAACAACTCAAAACCCCTAGAAATACTGGCATCTCTTGGAAGAGAGAAACCTCTTTTTGTCCTTCCAATACTTAAAGGGGACTTATGAGAAAGATGGAGACAAACTTTTTAACAGAACCTGCTGTGATAGGATAAGCTGGTTTAAAACTAAAAGAGGGTAGACTTAGGTTGGCCATAAGGATGACATAAGGTGAGAGTGGTGAGGCCCTGGCACAGGTTGCTCAGAGAGGCTGAGGCTGCCCTATCCTTGGAAATGTTCAAGGTAATGTTGGATGGGCCTCTGAGCAACCTGGTCTAGTGAAATGTGTCCCTGCCCAGGGAAGGGTTGGAATGAGATGATCCTTAAAGTCCCTTCCAGCCTAAATTATGCTGTGATTCTGCAGCAGCCCTGAACAACATGAGGCAAAACTAGAACAACTTGGGATCTTGAGGAAAAAAAAATGGAAATTGGCAATGATGAAATAAAGATTACATGAAAAAGAGGAATAAAAGAGTACAAAAGTGATTAAAGAGCAGGATGCAAAGTTTGGGTTGGGGAGGATCCATGTGAATTTTGATGTTCAAACAAGTCACAGGAATAAGAGCAGTAATGGGAGTCTAATACATAAAAGATTAGTAATATCAACAAGTGATGTGACTTCTATTGTCAGTAAAACTATTTTTGATCACTTCAAAAGGGTCATTGAAATCTCGTGAGGTAGCGATTGCACTCGTAGGTGCAATTCTCTTAAGAGCAAGAAGTAGCGTGACCTTGACGGAAATCAAAGTCAGCAAATATTTGCCTACACTGCCAGTGCACATCATTCCCAATTCAGGTCTTGCCTCTACAAAGTAATAAGTCAGGAGATAAATTATAATAGGCATGCCATTGATTTCTTTAATAGATATTCTTGTTCTGCGATAAGTAAACCACAATTAACAATTCATCAAGGACAGCTCTTATATGATTAACCATGTTGACAAGAGAGCATTTTAACTGCACTGTTCTTGGTATTTTTATTTTTGAGACAACTCAGTTAGAGACTATTATAATCCCGGGCTAAGGAAAGTCTCAACTAGTATTTAATAGAATCATTTAGCCTCTGTTAAGAATATAACATTTACACAAAAATGCAACTTTAGCATCTCTAGCAGTAAGACTAGCAGCTATGGTGCTTTGAGACAGCCAGCTAGGTGGGCATTTGCAGAACCTGGTCACACAGGCAGGAAAAGATTGAGAATTTCCAAGGGACAGCTTTAGTACATTTTAGCTAATGAAGACCCCAACAGAGAATTTTCAGGAGGGTTGTATACATTTAACACAACAAAGGATTAAGGGAAAAATACAATACAAAGCAAAAATTAGAATATTTAGCTGTTCTGTGTTGTCAGACAGAAAGCATGCCTGTTCCTTTGCAATTTCCTTCTTGTTGTCTGTCTTCAAGTTCAGCCCAGGTTGCAACCACCCATCTCAACATAAGCAAGGCGTAGAGCACAAATACACAATAACTCTGCCACAACTTTAAGCACGAATAATGAAAGGATGTTTTATGGACCCTTCTCACAGAATTTAACAGGTATTCTTTTACATGTAATAATATGGTTTTATATCATTTGTAGCTCCTTCCAGTTTACAATGGAGCTAAATCTCATGCTACAAAGCAAAGATTTTGGAAAGATTTCTAAGGTTTTGGTCAATATGAACACAGCCATGCCCACATGAAGAACCAGCTCTGACTCTCCGGCTTAGTAGCAGCATAAACCTAGCCCTGACCTACAGCAGAGGGCAGGGCTTCTGTATACCAAAGCACACTGAGCTGTGGCTCCATCCTGACACCAGCCCCACCAGCAGGAAAGGACAGGACACCAGGTAACCCCCCCCCCACACAGACAGACACCCTGCTCTGGCCCAAGCCCTCATACTGGCTCTCCATGGAGAGCATCATCCAGTAAAACTGTCCTGGAAGACTCTCCATGCCCTACTCAACCAGTGGCACCTCTAATGCAGTTCTTAAAATCACAGAATCATTTACCTTGGAAAAGACCTCTAAGATCACTGAGCACAACCATTAACCCAGCACTGCCAAGCCCACTGCTAAATCATGTCCCTAAGCACCACATCTACATGTCTTTTAAATCCCTCCAGGTGACTCCACCACTGCCCTGGGCAGCTTGTTGACAACCCTACAGGTGAAGAAATTTCCCTGATATCCAATTTAAACCTCCCCTGGTTCAATCTGAGGTTGTTTCATCTCATCCTATTGCTTGTTATTTATTTGTCCATGGGAATCTCGACAGAGCACACTGAGATTTGCATTTGTCTGCATGTGCTTGCTCGCGTATAACAAAACAGTGGCTGAAGAGGTCAATATAACATAGGAAAAAAACCATAAGAGGTTTGGGTTTTTTTTCCTAGTGAAAAGAATACTAATAGAAAAAGCAGTTGTGTTCTGGAAAACAAAATAAAAAGAAAATATGGCCATTGCCTCATATGATTCCCTCATCCTTTTTGCACTGAGCCCAATTTTCTATACTTCAAGCTCTGCAGGTATGAGAAAAACTACCAAAATCCTTACTGGAAACAGCCACACAGGAGTGCAAATATACCTTTTTGTTCAACTATTAGGACAAAGAAATCCTATAGAAATGTGATGGAGGCTGTCACAGCTTCCCAAGTGTGTGTGTGGCTGCATGTTGTAGCTGCTTTGTGGAGATCTGTGCACTGTGCCACAAGCATGTGTGTCTGTTAATCCTATCAAGAAGGATTTTACAAAATTTTATGAAGTTTTGGTGGGGATGGACCCTACTTTCCCAGGGTAAAGGTCAGCCACGGGCACATCAAAAACTGAAAACTGCAGAATGTGCCAACCCAGCATCTCAGGACACCCAATTTCTGCTACTGTTGTGCAGTTTCTGTATGCCCTTACACACTAGATTTAACATTCCTTAAGCCCCTCCAGCACCAATGGGTTATTTGCACAAGGCATCACTGAGACAGAGCATCTGAAGCCTCCTTCATTATCACTTTTAGAGAACCTTTCGTGCAAAAAATGACAGAGGGAATTTCTTCAGGTGATGAGCAACAGTTCAGATTCAGGAATAACCTTAATTTAAGGCTCCATCTATGAAATCCCTGTAGCAGCTCTTCCCCATCATACTTCCTGCTTTTGGCAAAGTCTGTTTCCTAAGTCAGCTATAGACAAAAGGAAAAAGTAACAGCACAGCTATGGTTATTATAATACAACCTTATTAGTTATACTTCTGTTGCTATTCCTCTCAGGACTTACTTGGAAAAAGCTTCATTCTTGCCTTGCATGACTCCATTCTACGTGTCTCATAATATATTCTTGCCATTAGTAAGTCCCACTTCTCAAGATTTAATGTTGAAAATAAAGCCTTCAGAGGTACTGAAGACAAAATTTTTCTACAAAATCACATGATCCCTCAAAACAACAGTATGTGCTTTGTTAAAAACAATTTATGAATGCCTTTATGGAGTGGAAGTAAAATTCCTCACACAAGTCCCCTTGCAATGCCCACACTCTTTCTGAAAGCTAGTCATAAATGTTCCTATGTCCACCCGGCCCAGCCCTCGATCTGAGGCAGCAGCAAGAGCAAATACTCTTTGTATGGACAAGCAGTGCTTGATCACAACATCGGACTGTTCCCCTGGGATTTCTCCAGGACCCGAGAGAACTGCATTGGGAATACTGAAAAGTTCATCCTTCTCTAGGGTCCATTTACAGACGAAGTCTCCATTCCCAGTGATGCTCTCCACACCACGTACCAGCGCCTTCCCCATTTTTTCAAGGTTTCTCTGCAATTTCTTATCAAGTCTGCAGCAGGACAAATTTTACGGGTGTACTCTGCATAACTTCCTAGTCTCCTGAACTTACTAAGCAATCTGCAGCACAGATGGAAGTATTTTCTTCAAAAAGCCCACCCCTGGGCTGACAGACATGTCCAGCAGCAGATTGGAACTCAAGCAAATGAGCACTCAAGCAAATACCCTGTACCACGATCTGCCGTACAAAAGGGTCTCCTCATGCAATGGGGAGCTCTACTCAGTAAATTCACATCCACACTGCTTTTCCAGACTGATGGCCGGGGAGGACAAATAGAGCAGCTGGGCACCCTGGAGTTTCAAGCCTCACAGTTATCAGCAAGTTCAGTTGCCAAATTTATGTCTACAACTGGCTTGCCTTGATTATATGACTTAATTTAGATGAGATACATCTTTTAGGCAAAATGAAAATCTTCCTTTGTGTTATGCTCAGATGATAAGAGGTGGAAATAATGCAAGGCCCACCATAACCTCTATGTTTTCATGCAGAATATGACTTGAGGCGATGTCTGTCAACATTTTGAATTGCCCTGTACTGTTTCCCCAGGCTTCCAGAGGAAGAGCCCTGAAAGAACCACTGTGATGTAGCAAACCTCAAGCATTCAGACTACAGAAAATAGTCCTGTTCTGTAGGACAGTGCTTCCTGCATAACTCCTGCAGAGTCCAGTCCGGCTATCTGAGATGTCTTATACTAAGAGAAAAATGCCAATTTGTCCTCAATATTCCTATTAATATATCTCCTGCCTTCTTCAGCTGATAAAGGAAAAAAACCCAAGGCCTCAGCAATGCAATGACTCGGACAATAACAAGCTAGCTTTTGAAGGGCAAAAATTATAAGGATCCGAAGTACCTAATTTTGCTGAAGAGCAAATACAAGTAAAACAACATAAAACCACATCAACTGTGTCTCCAATCTAGGCCCTTTCTTCCCCCTGTCCAGCTATCCTTGTTTGCCTTTCCACTTCCCTTCCCATCCTCCATTCCTCTGAAATAGCCTTTGAAGTCCTACAGCCTTAATTTATATTCAGGAGATTTAACTCGTTGCTGTGCTCCAGTGACTCCAGCAAATTGCATGTGCAGGTCACATGCGGCTTCACAGATTAGAAATAGGATCCTCCAGTCCATCTGAACTGGTGTCTCTAAGTGCAGTCGGCAAAAAGAAAGAGAAAACAGAAGGACAGCTAAACTGGATTGTTTAGTTTCAAGATTGACAGCTTCTGATCACGTATTTCATGAAGCCGTTCATGATCCTGAAGATCGCAAAAAAGATTTCCCTTACAGGACAAAAATCACCCTAAGAATAGAATTATGGAACTGAAACTGATTACTGTTTTAATTTCTAAAAGCTGCTAAGATGAATTTTTTTTAAGGCTACTAAGTAGTCATTAAATATGTTTTAATTTAGATTATTAGTATAATTTCTTACACAAGCATTGATCTACTCATTCTCATAAGTAAGTTATCTCCCTTACTAACAAAAGGGCTGACGACTTGCAACAGTGCTAAAATCTTTTTCATTTATCATCAGATAAGAGTAATAATGTTAAAATGTGATTATTCTTTGTAAGAGAAATAAAATTACTCCCCGCATTGTATTTTGCAAGTTATCAAATCTTTTAATCTGTCATTTGTCAGAGCTGGAAAACTTACTGCCTTTTGATTTTTACAGGAAAAAAAAGTTTTACTTTATTGTTGATAAATATCTGGAAATACACTTCATGATTCAGTGTCACAAAAAAGGCATTATTGTTTACTTCTGGATTATCTTTAATAAAATACCCATTAAACAATATAATTGAAAATACCATCTTCCTGCAGGGCAGGTGGGCAGGGGAAAATTTTCTGCAGCACCTTTGAGATTTTGCAGGATTTGCCTGGCTGCATCTTATATGGTTTTGCTATTTGCAATAATTAAAATATTAACAAAATCCCACAACAATGAAAATTACTTGAAATTAGGATATATTTTCACTTTACTAAAACAGCTTACAGTGTTAGATTCAGTCAAAAAAGACTGAGACCAATCTCTTACCCAGATAGGACAGTCGTGTACCACCAGTCTGACGTTTCCAAACACGCAGGCTTGATATTCAGTAAAAACTGGGTTTCCAACGTGACTGGCAGACAAGCTGCTGTCGATCTGGGAAATGAGAGCACTTCTCCCGAGATAGCTCCAGATCAGGCTGGGCTGCTGGCTGTCCTCAGAAAAACCATCTCTTTCATTCCCAAAAGCTACAATATTAACTGACCTAAAATAAAAATAATAAAGACAAAGTTGTGTTGATAAAGATGAAGGACAGGGATAAGGGGAAAGAAAATAAAATCCCCTTAAATCAAAACTAGCATATTAATCCTTCTGAATCCTCTTCCCTCCCTAGATTTTAACACCCTCCTGTAATCAACATCGAAACACATACATGATCTCAAATCCAACAGCAGGGTGAGGCGAGCAAAGCGGAAAAGAAACCTGGAAAGGTTGCTTTTACAAATCCCCAGCGACCTTGGCTTGTTATTTGTCGGTGTCCACGCTCAGTCTCGCTGCGGTGACCTCTGGGACTCCTGCCGCATTCTGCGGACAGCCTGGAGAACTCGGTGCTGGCTGTTCCGGGAGATGGATTGCAGCTGCAGCAGCAGCGGCAGTCGCAATACCAGCAGCGGCAGCTGCAGCAGCAGCAGCGGGATCACCAGGGCAGCAGCAGCAGCAGCAGAGCAGGAGCAGCAGCAGGAGCAGGAGCAGCAGCCAGGCAGCGTTGGCTGCGTTGCTCGGCGGCTGCCGGTGAGCGCGAAGCACCGGGACGGGCGGTCCCGGCCATCGCATCCTGACGTCAGGCGGCGGGAGCGCAGCCGGGGGCAGGGCGAGCCGGGGCAGAGCAGGTGCAGCCGGGGGAGCAGGGCAGGAAAAGGCGCTGAGGCAGCCCGGGGTCCCGCACGGCACGCGGAGGGTGTTTGCAGGACGGGTTTCTGCTGCCCCCCAGCCCTGGAAAAGGACCAACATTCCCACCCCAGGTTGCTGCCAGTGTGACCATCACAGCCAGAGGAGAGAGCAGTGTGAAGATCCTCTGATCCTCTATTTAACCCCCCCCCCCGTTGTTTTTTTTTTTTATTAATAGTATCTATCTTTTCAGTATAATTTTTTAAATGCCGTGAACTATTTTTGGCGTTCATGTGATGTTTACAGCATTATTTTCAAAAATAATTTCTCTAATTACAATAAAACAAATACAAATCTCAGAATCACAGAATAGTTTGGATTGCAAGGGACTGATGGAGATCATCTAATTCATCCCTCAGAGTCAGCAGGTTACACAGGAAATGTAGCAAATCCATCCTAAAAATGTCATATTCTCTGTCAGGTACTGCTATATACAATAAAGTAACAAAAGAAGTAAAAATATTGTAGGCACACTAGTTGATAAACAACACTCTATTATGCGAACACATGCTACTGTTAATCCCACAGCCAAGAACTCGTTCAAAACAGGACTTGATACGATTATCAGCAGAATAATTAATAGAGCTTTGCCTGCAATAGTCTATACTTTGAGAAAAGCGCTCTTCTGCTGTTGGTAAATGTAGGAGATGCCATTTGATGTCACTGCCTAAGTTTTATACCAACATAGTACTGATTGGCAGGACCATTTAAAAAAATTAATATCTGCTAATGAATGCTAGTAAGGTATTTGTATTTTTATTACAAATTCTACAGGGCCTACTGAAAAAAAAAAACAATAACCAAAAAAACCCGTAAACCAAACCAACAGATAATTGTTGTTTTCACGCATTTGATCCTATTCCAACTTCTGCTTTTCTAGCTTTGCCTAGAAAACTAAAAGGCCAATGACAGGTGGAGGTTATATTTTTGTTTCCTGCTGTGTAAAGTTTGAATCCATGTTTCTGCGGTGAGTTAAGGCAATCAAATGGAACCACTGCCTTTTTCCCTAGATGATCTTCTGACTCCTCTGACTGTGATGTATCACCTTCCACATCCAAAGCCTCAGTACTCTCCAAACACTGAGTATATGTTAATTTTGTAAGTCAAGATACTCAGAGCACTCAAAATTTTGCAACCCTGTCTATTCGTGTACTTTTCAAAGGGCACTGAAGAGCCCTTGGAATCCTTAAATTTGAACTGGTAATGGTCTAGCTGTTGAAAATGAGGAAACCTTTGGGAGAAAAGTTCTTTTAATACTAATGAGTATAACCTGGTATAGCTAAAGAAATAAACATATGTGCAGATGCGAATGTGTACACAAATATGTATATGCAGACATATATACGTATCTTTAAATACACACATCCCTACTTATTATATATACATATACACCTGCGTACACAGATGTGCGCACGCATAGGGAGTTGTAACACCAAGAGAAACTGGGCTGGTGAATAAGGCAGTCCTAATGAGAAGTGACCTAATTAACCCAAACTCCAATTAACATAGCTTAATCATTGCTGCTGACCTAGTCCTGCCCAAGGGTGCCAAGGACAGGGGTACCAACTGAAATGGAGGGTCACAGAAAACACTTGTTTTCCTCTCACTCCTTCCTTCAAGCACCTGGGAAACTATTTGGGACTTACAGAAGTATCAGTTCTGGCAAAGTGTGCAGGTGGTGGGTGTGGAATTCATTTCAGGTGATGAACAGCACTTAAAACTTAACAGACTAGAATACTGAACTGTTTTAGTAATGCTCCAGCAATCAGAAGATTGCAAATGACATTTGAAAAACAAGCATTAAAATTGGATGAGAATGCTGTCTGTTCTCCTGTGAAAGTAGGTCCATAACGCTGTTTTTGCCTGCACTGCTGAGGGACTGTGTAATACAGTTCAAATAAACAAACAAAACAGGAAAGGAAATTAGTTCAATTTGGCAGAATAATAAATATCACAAATAGAGAAGTTGCTTGGCACCCCTACCCCAGATACGTTGTGCAAGTTACATGGGCACTGAAAGGGAAAGCTGTAAAGATTGTTTAACTGAGAGGATTACAGAGGATTTCTTGACTATTCCCTGTTTGGCAATCTGGAAGTTGAATACCCTGTGATCAGCAAACGTTTCAGCCAGCAGGCATTTGCCACTGCTGCTAACAAACAACTACTAAACTGCAGAAAAGGGAGTCTTTGACAGGGCTCAGGAAACAATTGCATATTCGGTCTTATGCAGTTTGCACTGGAACATAATTGTTTTGTTTCAAATCGTTTCCGTTGTAGCTTTCCAGTGAGTACCTCAGATAAAGCACTCAAAACAAATTTGCAGTCCTCGATGACAAAGGGGAATGCTATTTTCCAGTGCGAGGACCTAATTGCAGGCAATTCAAGGAGGAGGATTTTTCCCTTGTGGAAGATGTGGCCTTCCTTGAACTGATCCACAGAGAACTATCTGGCCTATATTTTCAGGACAGTGAGGAGATTTAATGCACTTGAAATCAAAGTTGTTGCCAGGCCTTCTCATCGCCTGAGTGCACACTGAACACAGCTGCAGCTGCTGGTGGTATCAGCTTTAGGTGTGTGAGAAACCACGTTGTTCCAGTAGAGGTAGATTTCCAGTTTGGTTGATTTTTGTTTTTCTTTTCAGAGATAGAAGGTAATTCTAAATAACAAAAATATACTTTCCCATATAGAGCTGTTTCCTCCTAATATTGCAAAAAATAACCTATGATAGCCTTGGCTTCATTGGTGCTAGTCCAGACTAGACACAGCTGCTGCAGGATCTGCCAGCCAAGACCCTCTCCTTGGACAAAGCACCATCAAACAAAAAGGAGATTTTCTGTTGTTGTAGCCATCTGCCACATCCCAACCAACAAAATCCCTCTGTGTGAGGGAAAGCAAGGAATGAATGGAGGGACCGTGTTAAGGACCGCTAGTATTTTTCAGCATAACCATGCCAGAATAATGGTGTAGGAAGCACTGAAAAGCACATTTTTTTAACTTCCCTACATGAATCACAGAATTATTTGGGTTGGAAAGGACATTAAAGATCACCAAGTTCAATGTCTCCTGTACATTGAAGCCTATTTCAGGGATGGCACAGGAACTCCCAGCCAGAGTCTGCTGTCCCTCCAGCCCGACAGCTTTCACTGTTGACTGCTTTCTAGAGGTCACAGGTGGAGGCATTAAACAAAAAACAGCAAAAATTCCAAGGCTTTTGTATCAAGTTGTGGAATGGCTATCCTTGGAGGTATATATTGGACTTCACTGAAGAAGTCTTTGCACAACATGAGCCCATTAGACGTGCTTGGAATGGAGGCTGGGTTAGATGACATCCAGAGGTCCCTTCTGACCTGAATTATCCCCTGACTGCACAAATCTCCTCCCTCCCGGAGAGTGAACACTAAGCCTTGTCCTTTACTTCCTCTTCTTACACCAGCTTTCAACTCCAATACCAACCTCTCATCCAATCTTGTGGCAACTTATTTTCTTTATAAAGTTTAATAAGCTTTGCAAAAAGCTTCTCAAAGGCTTTTTAAAAATGCAAGAGGATTATTATGCCCACACGACCCTCTTTATTGGCATACTTACTGCCCTTCCTCCGAAAGCCAGTGATGCTGGCCTTCGCTGGAGCTTCTCCAACACCTTCCAACAGACTGTGTTCATCCACGTGTCCCTTGATCTCATTTTCTGAGATAACACAGACTGTATCATCTCACAAGGAATGGTAGCTGGTCCCACTGGTTTGGCATTCCCTGGGCCGTGCTAAAGCAATTTTTGAACATACTGGCAGCTTCAGTGACACAGAGACCTAAAACCCAATTCTGTGTTTTCTTGTCACAGTTTCTGATGAATGTTCTCAAATGTGTTATCTATTCCTGGCCATTTATTAACAGCTACTTTAATTACTTCTTTTTTCTAATCTTAGTGTATCAGATCAAATATTATCAGATCAATATTGAAACAAAAATATGAAGGGGGTGGGAAATGATCTAATGGAGGGAGAAGGAGAAAGAAAGATGTCACTTTTCAAATTCAAACCAGATCAGGTCTGTGGTAGAACATAGCTGTGCAAGCAACTAGTAGGTTATGGAAAGCTACTAACTGAGGGTAAGACCAGATTACCAGATGGATTACCAGAGCCAACTCTGGATGTTCCACACAAGAACTGCCTTCGACAGTGAAGGGAACAAGATCCTGTATCATGAGGAGGGGACCTATTTGGTGGGTCCATGCCATCTGGTGGCATGACCCATCGCACCCCAAACTTTGAGCCCTTCACACCATGCAGAGGTGAAGGGCTGAAAGCACTGCTGCAGAAGAAGAAACCCCATTCACAGTGGTAGGAATCCCCAGCTGTAGATGCAGAGCTGCCTTCTCATGTCATAGTTTAACAAGTGCTATTAATTGCATTAAAATGCAGGTCAAAGGATCAAAAAAAGTAGTTTATATGTTGTTTCTGCTGTTTCAGAATTGGAATCCATTGCCAAAAGGTGGACATGGACCGCCACGTCATGCAGAGGAGCATCATCCCCACCCCAGCCTGCCCTGGTTCCCCTCTCCAAGGCCTGTCAACTTGAACTTGGGGTGAGGCTGAGCTGCAAGGAGAGGTGGGCATGCAGCAAGCACCACAGGCCATGGGGAAGTGCTGCCCATCAGAGAGGGGGGAAAGTAAAATATTACACTTTTTAGTATAAAATAATGCAATTTTGTTTGAAT